GTGGCAACTCGGAGGCGTCTCGCGCATCCAAAGTTGCGAGGACGCCGTGTCTGGGGTGAGAGCAAACACTCATTTCATCGGTTACTACCTCACGAAACAAGTACCATTTTGTTTATAACGTGTTTTAGCCGTGGTAAAAAAAAACAAAAAAAAACAAACTTTGCTGTTACTCAGAGACTATGGACACTAGACCTACACAATTTTAATATGTTAAACATTTATCTGTCTGCTTCTTACCCATACAATTAAAATGTGTCTATGATAATACATTCAGTATTTATACTTGAAGAGAAGAAGGCAGATGTTGCAGCCGACCACATAAAGTAACACGGGGACCCGGGAGGGTTGCAGCATCCATTAAATGGTACTTATTAACCGTGTACTGTATCTATGAAACACAGTTAATTTTATTTGTGACTGTCCGTGGGGTCCAGTAGCCTGCCTTGCTCTCAGTTGCAGTTTGTTTGCTTCAGTCTTGTGTGGCAAATAGTGAACAAGCTGAAGTAATAAGTGACCAGACAGCACGAATATTTCTTAATCTATTGGGTTTATTAGGGTGTAATGTTATTTGTTAATGTAATGTGTAATGTTATTATTGTTGTATCAGTTATCCATAGCAAAAGTTTTTATGAACTGGCAAATCCCCAGTTTTGTAAATCATTTGATGATTGGATGCTTCAGATGAAGGAGGAATGGACGTCCCATGTCTGTATGAACTTGTTTACTTGATTCCTCTCTCCTGGCACCATTGTCTTGCATTTTACATAGGTGGGAAACGTGGAGCAAGGGAACTGGGATTTACCAATATGCAGTACCTGCAGTCACATAAATCAGCAAAGGGCCAGTCAGATGAACACTGATCATGGCTTCAACTCTTTGCTCATTTTGCCTTTATTTAAAAAAAAAAGAGTTCACTATTTTTCAAGATATTTGTTGAACCAGAGACTAAATGCTCAAATTGATTTCAAAAATACAAATTAGCTTGATGGAAAATAAACAGAAACATTTAGCCTGATAACAGCACATTAGCCTGAAGCCTCATTTGAGGAACAGGCCCCAAGTGTTTTGCCTTTGTCAGCTGACATCAGTGATTCGGGTCCACCCCGAGGTGCAGCATGCTTGAAGGTTTTACCCCAGATAGAGCAGGTCAGCCACATTTTATTATTTCAGCAATTAATGTTGATTTCTAACTGTCCTGTCACCCTGGTTGTTGGGTTACACGCTGTTTTCTTTAAGACCCAGAGATCCAGATTGTGTCTGAGCCGGTACTCTTCTTCTTGCCTGTCTCTAGCAGGCTGTGGTTAACATTTGAGTATGGCATTAAGCCACTGATGACAGAGCAGAGCACAATAGGAGATAGGCACCACCCTGACATCTCAAGTGACCTCTGTGTGTGTCTGTTCAGGTTTCTGTCAGGCTGCTTCCAAAAGATGGGTAGAACGAGCTAAAGATACTCTCTTCAGCATTATGCCAACTGTCAGCTTGATCTTTCAGAAAGTGGTTGACAAGAGGTAGATTGGAGAACAGTGTGTTAGAGGTGGAAGTGTATTTGTGACTTTGCCCAGACCTTTTATTTACCTTTTCTGTCTCGCTATTGGGCTCATTCTCTCTCTCTCTCACTCCCTCTCTCTGTGTGATGGAGGTAATTAGTCCCCTGCAGGGATGACTCTGGTTATCAGGGGTTGAATAGCTCTCATGTGAAAAGCAGGACATCGGGCAGGTGCAGACGATGCTGTGTCTTTCAGAATCCCATCTGAATCATTCATGTCTTCTATGGGCATAGTTCAGGTCAGATGGTGTATCCACTGACTTAACCATGATGAAGTGACCCAGCATGCCATTGTCCACCATAGTCTGTCTTCTAAAAGCAGTTGTTTGCCCCTGTCTGGTGCATAACTATGCCATGTGTCATGTGGATCAGGTTGTAATCCAGAATGCACCCATTAACCTGTCAGAGGAACTGGTTTTAGTGGAAAGTTTGTTTTGTTGTGGAATCCCCTGTGGTGTCTGATCTGACTGAGAACAGCTGATTGATATGTCTTGTTCAAAGTGTAACAGCAGTCATATTCAGTTAATGGCTGACTATTCTTAATGAGGGGGAACAGCTTACAGAGTAACAAAGATGAGGCTTAAGGCTGGCTCTCCTTCTTTCAATGAATTATTACACCTGCCCAGGGGGGTGTTTTTCTGCTTCGTGAGTCAGCAAAATAGCTCAAAAACTTTTCAACTGGTTTTACTGAAACAGACCTTTTTAACTTGTTATAGTAAGACAAGAACTAGTATATGTTTTTCTATTCAAGTGTCCTAGTGAGAGTGAGCCAATGCAGTACCAGGACAATGAAACTAAGCAGCTAAAGGGAAGACGGTCATCCCCAATACTTGTATGCCCCTACAGTGACATGTCGAAATGTTGGACCATGGAGCAAGCAGCAAGTGTTTTATTTTTGGTGCTAATCTAGGAGGTTAAAAGGATTTCAAGAGAGATTTTTGATCTGGGGCAGCATGGTGGAGCAGTGGGCAGCGTTGCTGCCTCACAGAAAGAAAGTTCTGTTTATATGTTCTTCCTGTGCCTGTGGGGGTTCTCTCTGAGGCATCTGAGTCTTAAATCAATGCAAATAAAATCTATTAAAAAAAATTACACATGGAGTAATTTAAACTGTATGTCCAGTGAATGATTTTTAAGTATTGTCTGTTGGAGATACAAGTCACATTCCTCAGCCATTTTTTATTTAACCTGCTGGGGAACATAAATGTTCTTCAATCAGAGTCCTCACATACCACAGTGAAATCAAACTGAGTCATTTGTTTATATTATACATGGTGTAGTAGTTCAAAGGTCAAAGTGTTTATTTGTCATATGCACAGTTAGGAAATGTGTTTCCCTGTACAATGAAAGTCTTCCTTTGCCATCCACATGAATGCCACACAATACACATGAAATATAAAGTAGATAAGCAGGTAAGATAATTCTAAGGCACTTTAAAGCAGCAAATGAAAGAAGCCTAATAAAAATACAACACGGGCACAATATAATGTAGAGAGAATGTATGCTACATGGGAGCTGTGTGTGCAAATAGTCAGCAGTGAGTGTGTAATTACATACTCAGTTTGCACATGCATAAACAGTACAGGTGAAATTACATGAGATAGTTCCTGAGTCAGCTGTTTAGGATTCTGATAGCAGTTGGAAAGAAAGAGTTTTTCAGTCTAGAGGTCCAGCATTTCACACTTCTTAACCTCTGGCCGGGGGATAGGGGCGTGAAGGGGTCCGTGCTAGGGGTGGGTGGGGTCTTTGAGGATGGAGGCAGCTTTCCTACGCACCCAGTAATTTAAACTGTATGTGCAGTGATTGATTTTTAAGTATTGTCTGTTGTCATTACAGGCCATGAAGCTCATACAGGAGCTCCACAACCAGAGGGACAGTCTGAAGGGTGAGATTATTGAGCTCCTCCACCAGCAGAAGGTGAGACTGCTTGAAGGGATGATTACTGAGAATACTGGCCAAATAATCCTCTCACAATTTTTGGGGAACTGGTAGCAGCTGTAATATAATAGTCATTTTTACATAATGAATCTGAAAAATGAGTGAAAAGGACAGACACTGGTCTTCAGATCTGCTTTGATATTTCAAAGCTTTTCCACTAGAGCTGGGAAAGGTTAGTTGATTGGAAAGTTGACAGAAAATAAATCTGCATTATCACTGTTCAAACTCAAATGCCAAACATTCTCAGGTGTGAGCTTTTGCTGCTCATCTTTGTATTATGTGATGGACAACGACGGACATGTCCCTCAAAGCCCCAGTGGAAAGGACAGCCTTGCAGTAGCGTGTTCTCTGTCTCCTGTGTGCAGGTGCTTGGTGCTCAGGCAGAGACAGTCACTGCCATGGAGCAGTGCTGCCACCGTGTGGACGCTTTGGAGGAGGCTGTGGTGAGTGTGTGGGATGATGAATTGACACTAACACACAGTAATTCAGCTTTACTCTGTACTGTTTATATGTAAATTATTTGTTGTTGCAATGTCCCATTTTCCTACAGTGCTAATTAAATGTCCATCTCTTGTCACTTCATCTGTTCTCGCTGTGGCAGAGATCTTTGAGGGAGACCTTTCAGAAGTATCCGGACCCAGAGGAGCTGAGTCGCTGTGTGACCTGGGACGTCATGCAATCAGCTCTGCTCAGCGAGACAGAAAACCTTAAGAAGGTCAGATCCAGCCTGTTCATGACAGCTTGTTATTTTTTCAGCATCAGACTGGAATAGGAACTCTCTGAACCAAGGTTTAAGTTTCATTTTAGCAAAAACTTGACAAATGAATGATTTCTACTTGAATTGGTTAATCCTTAAAGTCCTTCAATGTTATGATGTGTCATTTGCAGTTGTCTGTTTTGTGGACTCTTTGTATTAGTTTTATTTTTTGCAGTCTTTTCACAGAGTTGTAAGACTTTCAAACAAGAAATATAAACAATGTACTTGGTAAATAATTCAAATAAATGTAGTGAGTACAAAGTACAATATTTTTGACTGAATTGTAGTGAAGTCGAAGTGGCATGAAAATTGCATTTTAAGACCCTCTAGTTCAAAATGGTGTATGGCTTCAGGGCATTGAAATATGACATGATATGATGTATTTGGCATCAAAAAAAGCATTTTTTAATAGTTTTCAATGGTGAGTAACAGTAACCTAGGAATACATTTGTGAGTTGGGTTTTAGACTCTTATTGTGGATAAGATCAACTGTTTAGATGGACTGTTGAATCAAATATCAGCAAAATAACCTAGACTTGAAGAAAATGTTACATTTCACTGTGATCATGGCAATGCAATGTGTAAGACTGAGATTCAGAGCTTCCAGGTCTGTGGGGTTGGGTTCAGAAGTTGTGGGGACACATGATATCAGAGGTTTCTTACCTATTAAACAAACAAACAAAAACAAACATGTCCCTCAAAGCCCCAGTGGAAAGGACAGCCTTGCAGTAGCGTGTTCTCTGTCTCCTGTGTGCAGGTGCTTGGTGCTCAGGCAGAGACAGTCACTGCCATGGAGCAGTGCTGCCACCGTGTGGACGCTTTGGAGGAGGCTGTGGTGAGTGTGTGGGATGATGAATTGACACTAACACACAGTAATTCAGCTTTACTCTGTACTGTTCATATGTAAATTATTTGTTGTTGCAATGTCCCATTTTCCTACAGTGCTAATTAAATGTCCATCTCTTGTCACTTCATCTGTTCTCGCTGTGGCAGAGATCTTTGAGGGAGACCTTTCAGAAGTATCCGGACCCAGAGGAGCTGAGTCGCTGTGTGACCTGGGACGTCATGCAATCAGCTCTGCTCAGCGAGACAGAAAACCTTAAGAAGGTCAGATCCAGCCTGTTCATGACAGCTTGTTATTTTTTCAGCATCAGACTGGAATAGGAACTCTCTGAACCAAGGTTTAAGTTTCATTTTAGCAAAAACTTGACAAATGAATGATTTCTACTTGAATTGGTTAATCCTTAAAGTCCTTCAATGTTATGATGTGTCATTTGCAGTTGTCTGTTTTGTGGACTCTTTGTATTAGTTTTATTTTTTGCAGTCTTTTCACAGAGTTGTAAGACTTTCAAACAAGAAATATAAACAATGTACTTGGTAAATAATTCAAATAAATGTAGTGAGTACAAAGTACAATATTTTTGACTGAATTGTAGTGAAGTCGAAGTGGCATGAAAATATTTATGTAAAGTACAGATACCTCAAAATGTACTTAAGTACAGTGCTTGAGTAAATGTACTTGGTTACTTTTTTACAGTCTTGTTTAGGATTTCTCTGCATTTCTTTACAGGAGCTTGTAAACACATGGGCTGTTGATCCAGCCAAAGAAGTTGAGCCCAGACAAACATCTTTCAACAGGAACTTCGCTGCTGAAAACTCTTTTTCCAGCACACCCTCCTCTCCCCACCCTGTCGAGGATACTGTCAGGACAGCAGCTTCTGGTTCTCCGATGGTTTCTGAAGAGATTCCCACTCTTCTAGAAGTGACAAACACCCCATCAGCCACAGAGGCCTCTTCAGACCTGTCAGGACCACCTCAGCAGCCTCATTCTCAGACAGGCCTGGCATCTGCTGGCATGCGAGACCAGCACCTACAAGATCAGGTCAGACAGGAGGACGTGTCCCTGAGGGGCAGTCAAAAGAGGTTGAAAAACACAGTATCATTAATACAAAAGCCCAGAGTGCATTGCAGCAGACGTTTAGGACCACAGATGTAAATATGCTTGCTTTATTGTATTTAATTATTCTATTTGATTTATTTATTTTAGACCTTGGATGTATTTATATATTATTTACCTATTCAATTTTCCATATGTAAATTAGGTGCCGGATCCATCAAAATAGTTGTCGGTCACAACTTGAGAGGTGCCAGATCCAGATGTGGCTTGTTCTGGCACAAATTAACCCCTGTTCTGAGCTGTCCAGCAGCCGCCTGGATGAGGCTAGGCAGGGTGATAGCGATAGCCAGGGCCTCAGTCAGCAATTGCAGATATTTTGGTTATCCAGAAGTAGGAGTGTGTTGAGTCACAGCTGATTCATCCAGGGTACTATCAAAACTCACAGCTTAGAGTTTCCATTTCATCAGACCTGCATGTGTTTGCTCTGTGGGAGGAAATAGAGTTGACAGCGCTAACCACTGAGTCATTGTGTTGTTACCAATGCATCATTTCGACCACCTTCTGCAAAGTGATGGCCGTCTGTGTGTGTCTTAGAATGTGGAGCTGCTGAACAACGCGCAGGTGATCCTGCAGCTCCAAGCAGAGTGTGAAAAGCTACATGAAAACATGAGGTGGTTGCATGAGGACAACAGACAGAAACAGAGCCACATAGAGGTAGACAAATAACTTTTAGCATGTTTTATGTCTGTTTTTCTCTGTTTTCTTAACTGCAATACATCATTCCATTTGTGACAACAGTTCCTGACAGATGATGTAGGAATTTTTCAAAATGTAATAAATCTTGAACTATTTGCCCCTACAATGTAATAATACCTACGTATGTACGTGAGAATATTTCTTAGTTGTCACTTCTTCTACTCTTCACACAGACCCTGAATGTTTCCACCCAGAATATGACTATGCTGTAAGAAATGAAGGACAAAATACAGTGACTTACTCCAAAGCTTATCTGGGGCTCAGATGCAGCTTCTGTTGCCTCACTAAGCTAATTCAAGTCAATATCTCTTAAAGTCTATTTAAGACAAATTTCTCTTTTTTGTTTCCCTGGTGAGTAGTTCCATGCTGTGGCGGAGAGATATGTTATAATAGTTGTAAATTTGTTGTTAGCTGTGTTTACTAGTCAGGCTGTGTTCAGAATTTGCATGGAAACCTGTTCGTACCTTGCGCATTTGACAGCTGGATATTTTTGCGGTTTGTGCTTTTAGTGCTCTCCATCTCCAATTCTTGTTTCCACAGGAACTATACAAGAAGACGGAGGAGCTGGAGGAGAAGAAGGCTGACAGGCAGATGGTTGAGAGCGAAATTGTAAGTGGCTTTGTTTTAACTAACTAAGGTTTAGATGCTGTAGTCACTACAGGGAAGAGTCAAACAGGTCTGTAGCCCTGTGTGCAAATTCATACTAGCTACAGATGCAAGCATTCTTTTGTTATTGGTAAAAATGTTAAGCATCTTAGTGTCCTGCCTTTATTTTAATGTTACCTGGTTTGAAAACCTTGAGCTTTTAAGGACCAACCAACAAGGTTTAATTGAACCACTGAGGTTCTCTCGTCCTTTGCAATGGCTCTGCCTCTGTGAAATGTGTTGTATAGTTGTGTATGGAAAAATGAAGGACTTGCACTGTGCATTCCTTGCTGGCCTCCACTAAATGGTAAATGGACTGCATTTTATATAGCGCTTTTTTCCAAAGCGCTTTACAGGGAGATCATACCACCATTCACCCATTCACACACACATTCACACACACATGACGACAGCTGCCACACAACGGCGCTAATCAAGCCACCGGGAGCAATTCGGGGTTCAGTGTCTTGCTCAGGGACACTTAGGCATGCGGGGAGACTGGGAGTCGAACCACCAACTTGCTGGTCAGGAGACGACTGCCCTACCTCGTGAGCCACAGCCACCCACATCTCAAGTAGAAACATCTGGGGGGGTGGGGGGTAGTATGTACAAAATGGCACCACCTCAACTGCAATGCTAATCTTGCTAGCAGTAGATGACAGTGCTTTAGAGGCTCAAACCAAGAGCATAGTTTTGCATATGGACAATAGGAACATGTCCCTACCAATATTTAAACAAACCCATGTGCATTACCTTTGGAATGAGGTCATATCAGATTATTACGATGTGCTTGAACTTCCAAAAGGGAAGGGGCATCTAAAGCTCACATCAAATGCAAATGTCAAATTTGCCTTTTTGAGGTAAGAATATGAAATTCATGTTCGAAAACACTACACAAAGTTCAACAAATTTGAACTTTTAGCACACTCCCACTCTGCACAGAGCCTGCAAAGTGCACCACATACACATCAATGTGAGGAGCATGCAGAAGCTTTTTTTCCCACAAGAATGTGAAGATGCCATAATTCTGCTTAAATAGAAGCAGCAACGGACACGACCATGTAAACCCTATAAACTGGATGAGAGACGTACTAGAATACTAGCATGTACTTAGTCAAAGAAAATAGATTTTTTTATTAAAAGGGCACTTGGGTAAATTCTATTTTTGAGTTTATCAGTGCACAGAAAAAAGCAGCTGATCTTCTTTGTCTCTTGTATCATATTCAGTGTGCTTTTTAACTCCTGGTCTGTGTTTTGCTTATGTTAAACTGCTTGTTTTCTCTCCACATCTGAAGAAAGCAGATAAATCTGTTTTGGAGAGCAAAGTAAGCCGTCTGCAGTTTGACTCTGCCACAGAGCATCTAAACACCATGTTCCATGAGCTGCTGAACAAAGTGATGGACCAGGAGCAGGACTGGCACAAAGTCATTGACAAGCTCTCCTCAGAGATGGAGTGTAAGGTAGAGATGCATCATCTGTTCTACCAGAGAAAAGTGGTGGTGGCAGCATTTCATGTATGTAATTGATCTTGTAACTATAACATCAGGCTGATAGATGCAAGTATTTGACCAGTATAGCTTTTGGAAGGTTGATCTGTGATCATCTCTGACAAACCACATTATATTTGACACCTGACCTCGCTGTAGTTGAACAGGATTGAGTTAGACTCTATGAAAAAGCAGCTGGAAGATCGATGGAAGAATATCCACAAGGAGCTGCAGGCTCAGGGGGCTCCAGAGCATGATGATGCTGCTATTATCAGAAAGTAAGTGCAAGTGGTCACTAATCACAACTAATGTTTGTGGAGTGGAAACGGTATGAGCACGAGTTCTGAAGTGTTTTCCTCATGCATTTAAGTAGAGCTTTGAGAGAAGTATTCCCACAAAGATTTACTGTGTGGATAAACTTAAATTAGGGGTCACAGTTACACTCAGCCATGGACCAGTATTTTTTTCAGCATTTGTTTGTTTCACAGACTCCATGGAAACACAGGCCTCTTTGATTTTTCATACAATTCACCTAACACAATCCAAGGGCAGATGTTATGTTACCCTAAAAGGTGCAATAACTAAGATGTTGCACATTGTCCTATAAATCAAGTGAAAATGGGACAGGAAGTGATGTCTCTCAGCAATCCTACCACCCCCATGTCGGCCGCAGTCACACTCTGCCGCCCACAGCGCTAATGTTTTTATTCCAGCTTCCCTATGCTGTGTTGTCAAAGTATGGTCTATAAATTAGCTCCGCCTGCAACCTAGCAAAGCTTATAAGAAGCATTTTTCTGACCAATGAATAGTCATTTCAAACAGCCAGCCATGAAGGAGCTCTCAGCAGCTAAAAGTCTAAAACAGCAGCTGCCAGGCTGAAGATGTCCCATTCTTTTGCACAAAGAGAGTGGGACAATGAAAGAGCAAAAGCCGGGGTTAACATTGGTTTGACATTTTGAGATGGAGAGTGACAAAAGCAGCCAAAGGACCTGAAAGAGATTCAGATGGGGCGTTTTTCCCCTCTAGATGTGTTTGTTTTGCTAACATTAGCAACCTAGCATGGTCATGACTTTACCTTTTTTTTTTAATTAATATGATTTTAATTTGGGAGTAATTTCAGCTTTGTGTCACATTAGCAGTAACCACAGCTTTCTACTGGACTGACACATTTATACCCGTTAGTCTGATAAGGCTAGCCAGTGTTGCCAACTCCTCAGTAATTCAGGTTGTTTCTTTTTCTTTCACGTCAGAGTCTCAAAAACATCAAAAAAGTCTCCAGTAACACCAGAAAAAGTCGCTAGATTTGTCGCTAGTCGCTTTTGACAAAAAAGTCGGCAAGAGGATTTGGAAAGTCGCTGTACAGTGCGGGAAAGTCTCTGAGTTGACAACACTGAGGCTAGCTTTGGACTGGAGGCTGCTTTTTGTACAGTTTGTTGAAACTAGGAATTTGTAGTTAACATTGTTGCTAGGAAAAAAGGAGCAAAAGGCAATTAGGAGCATCTTATGGTATTAGTTTGTTTTGAGTTTCAGTAAACTGTCTAGCAGCTGAAAAGATGTTAGGTAAAATAGCTTTAAATTCAGTCCAAAAGCAAAAGTTATTTTTCCTATTGGTATGTGATTGCTAACAGTGGCCTGCTTTAGTTAGGGTTGAATTAAAGTAGGTACTGTTGTCATCAACAAAGCGTTTCCCATTACTACAAATTATATTGATAATTTCTGTTATTCATTTGTATTTTTGTATTCCATCAATTATCTATTCTATACCGCTTATCCTGAAGAGGGTCATGGGAGGCTGGAGGCAATCCAAGCTGACATCGCCAATCAGAGCGGACATGTAGACACACATACACTCACTCATTCTTAGGGTCAATTTAGAGTCGCTAATCAACATAAGCTCCATGTCTTTGGACTGTGGGAGAAAGCCAGAGTACCTGGAGAGAACCCATGCAGGCACAGGGAGGACATGCAAACTCTGCACAGAAAGGCATCGGGCACAGTTTTTGTATTATTCTTGCAAATTTATTATATGTCACTTTAGCAGTAGGTGCCATTCAAATAGCCCGGCACAAAGTGAGACACATCAGACACTTAATATATATAGTGAAAGTTAGGAGCTATATAGTCATCTTTCTTTGTGTTCTTCCAGACAACTCTTGGAGAGATTTCACTGTCTGTCCTGTGACCGACCCATTGTAATGCAAACCTCCAGACCGTGAGTCAATACTTCTAATTATTTCCCACATTATTAGCATTTCATTTCCAAACTTAGCATTTATCCTGACTATAATATATTTGCATAAGGACACAGAATTCTTGCAATTTAAAAATATTTCTTGGATTACAAAATAAAGTGACTTTACCAAAAGATGCCTATCGTCATCTGGGTACGGAGAATGGGGGGTTACATAAGACAGCGGCCATCAAGCAGTGCTTCACTTTGTGACTTTGTTCTTTAAAATAAAACAGCACATCGTTATTACTTTAAATAGTCTGTTACCAAACATTTATCAGTAATACAGTTAATATGGAAAAAAATATGAATATGCCGTGTGTGTTGATTTTAGTGATGTGCCTAAATTATGTACTGGTGCTCTTAAAATGTTCAGTAAGGAGCACCAGTGCAACTAGTGGAAGGAGTCAGTCTGGAGCCCTGGCTATTGTATGTTTCTCTCTTTGTTTTGGGGGCATAAAAGGGATTTGGTGATACTGCCCTCCACTCCTGGATTTCCCTCGCACAAGTCCATCAGGCCATACGCTGTTTACAGTCTGGAGCAGCTTCGCCAGCACTACAGGAGGTGAGATCACTGTGTCCTCTGTTCATTAGCAGGTGGCACAAGACTCTTAAAAGCTTAAAATAATTTACTCACAGCCCTTACAAATGTGACTATAAACATAATCTTTGTAGAAGAACTAATATTATCTTTTGCAGATAATATAAAGTTTTACAGATAGAGGCCCCAAACAAGAGCAGTGCCATTTTCTGTAGCTGACATCAGTTCAGATCATGTTTATTAATCATTTTCATAAAGGTACCAAGCTGACAATACAATGTCATGATACAAGCTGACAATACAATGTCATGATACACACTGTTTTTATGTCCCGATGTTTTTCTGTGAATGAGCAGCAAGCGTATCCCTGAGCGGACTGACTATGGTCATATGGCTGTGTCGCGGAGCTGTGGGGGTAGCCACACCATCACCTCAGCCAGTCAGCGTCAGTGGCGCACCGGCCTGCAGTACATGAAGCACCACAACCAGACTGAGGTGGACAGTTTGGTTCAGGTATGACAAATAACAGTTAATAACAATAATAATAATACATTAAGTAAAAGAAATAATAGTAACAGGTAATAGTTTAAAGTTGGCATGTCTTTTACTGTACATTGACATAGTATCACAGCAGATATCAGACTGATAGCAGTTAGCTAAGGATAGATCCTTTAAAGGCAGAAAATTGTAACTGTTCAGAACAATAAAGGGGTTATCTGTAACCTGTACTGGTGTCAGCACAGATGGCAGAAACACTGATAGAATTTCAGTCCTCTTAACACAAATGTGTGGTGTTGTTTTTTTTAGATGTTTTTTAAATTTGATTTCTTAAAATTGTCATCTAGGATGTACAAACTAGCCACAGCTTCTGGAAAACCTGTTGCTTTCTTTTAGTCAGGTCTTCAGTCAAGAGAGTTGCAAGCTTTAACAAGTTGTTCACTCAAAATGCCTTTCAAAATGTTTATCTATGTAATTTACTACAACAGGTAGTAGAGAGGAAGTAAAGTCTAATCTGTAGTTTTAATTGAAAACCACTTTGGAGAACGGCTATCTCCAAATGTGTGTCCACAGGCATCATCCTGTTGTTCAGAACTGTTTCCTTAATGCAGCAGTGTAACTCTTCAGATTTTTGTCCAAATTAATTCTTTTTTCCCCACCAAAATGTACAACATTTAGGAATACTATTGACAGAAGAAGAGAGAAATAAGAAAGATACTTTAAGTACATTTTGTTCATTTAGTGTTTCTAAATTGTCATTCAAATAAGTTGAATGCAGGAATTTACTTGTAATGGGAGATTTTTATCTGTTGGAATTGCTACTTTTACTAAGTACAGGACCTGACTTGAAGCGTTCTCACTGGTTAGATTCTATCTAATGGATTTTACATGTCCCTCTGTGTGTGTGTGTGTGTGTGTGTGTGTGTGTGTCTCAGTCAGAAGAGGTTGATCTGATCGGACTGGATGGAAATGTTTACAGAGGTCGCCTGAATGCCACAGACAACAGGAATTCAAAAACTGAACTACCTCCCATTTCGACCAAACAACGTAAATAAAATTGTCTAAATCTCATCTGCCGTATTTATTTCTGAATCGTTAGTTTGTTCATTTTTTGCGCCACAGATGTAATTGACATCAGCGGACCATAAGGCTTTGTAAGGATAAGAACTATATAATTTTATTTAACCGGGAAAGAATGAATAAAAATCTCTTTTGCAGGAGCTTTCTTGATCAAGATAGAAGCACCACATAAAGATAATAAAACATAACACAATGAAAATGAACATGCGATCAAAAGGATAAAGTAAGACAATAATAGCCCCACATTTAGAATAACTAATACAAACACATATGAGCAGTACTGTATTTTGAAATTGTTAAAAAAAAAAAAAAGTACATAAAATGAACTGATAGGCCTCCAGCTCAGAGAGAACAGATTCCAGAGCTTGTGAGGAAAAAGTTTCCTGAAGTTTCTGTTTCTATAATCGTGGAAACTCAGCTTTACACACAAGAGCAGCAGAACATGTTTGCAAGCAGCTGCTGAGAGATTATTGAGATTCTATATTCAGGGTAAAAACTTTTTCAAGTTTGTTGAAAGCAGTGGTGTGTCTGCATTACTATTATTATTCTATTGTTGTATGATATCTCAGGAGCTTTTTTCCAAATGTGTTGGTACGGATGCTTTTTTTACTGTGAACTTGACTAAAAACTAAAGGCTGGAAGGTTTATGTGAAAAACGAAGAAGTGATTCCACACCTGCATGATTTATGAGAATAAATGGTAAAGTACAAGACAGTTGCTGGTGTTTGTGGGGTTTGTTTTTAACTTGTTTGTTGACGACCACAGGCTGCAAGACTAAAGACAAAGCCAGATGCTCCTCCTCACACAAAGCTGCAGCTTCTCCGGAGGTGGGTCATCACCCCCCCAGTGCCACGAGTGCCCAATACAGTCACTCAGGTGAGTCGCCCACCCACCCATAAGGTGTGAATGTTTACCCAGTTAACCTCATGCCTGCAGCTCTGTGGGAGCCAGGCCATCTGTCACAGGAATTCTTCTTCTTCTTCCTCCTCCTCCTCCTGCTCCTGATCAACTCTTGACTGTGTGTTTGGGCTCAAATCTAAGCTAAAGCTTTGCCCAGTATGTATATATCTCACCTTCGATTTTGTTATTCCAGAGGATATTTGCCTGGAGTTAACACATCAGATCACAGAAAGGCACAATCTATAAAACCATAAAATCATTCTAATCATAAATAAGTGTATCATATAAATGTAAATAAACAGGGATAATATGAAAATATTTTTTATTCAGAAAAGTTAGACATAAATTGTGCATTCAGTTCCATCTCCCCTGAGACTGCTTTTCAGTTTATTCAGCCTTTTTGTGAGATGGGTTATGGAATATATTTTAATATAAAGCCACATTTATGACAGGCTATATGATTTTGGAAGCATATATTGTTCATTAGGTGACCCAAGACAAATGCCTAACCTCATCCTCTGTGTCTCTAGCCTCCAGCATCTCGGGGCGGGACTGGCCTGTGTCAGCTCTGGGCTGCACGTCACAGTGCTCCATCACTGCAGCAGAGAGCAGCACATAGCCTCTGGTTAGCCAGCAGCTTGGACAGTAGGGGGCGACACAGAGCTATTTCACTGCTCATTACATCCAATAAATCACCTGTCAAACACTGAGTCCAGTCCTGTGACTTTTTTTTTTTCTACTGTGTTTCTGTGATCAGACACATATTATTACAACCCTAAATCAGAAAAAGTCTGGATGGTATGTAAAATCAATACTAAAACAGAAAACAACTGATGTGTGAATCATCTGTGTCCTGTATTACATCGAAAACAATACAGCAGCACATTATTTGATCTGAGCTCTATGCCACAGAGGAATAGATACAGGGGTTTATAGTGAAGTGTTCCCCAAAATACAAAGTCAAGTGGAGTAGAGGTTTAATGACATTACAAAAAAATGGAAATACACAAGTACAAGTACCTCACAACTGCTTTGAAAAATAAGATTTTACTGCTGCTCTGTTGATTCTGAATTGTAGTGTTAAGATGTTGAAGAGCAGATGCATAGATCTATAAAACAAGCAGTTACTGCAACACTGTCAACTGCATATAACACCGTGTTCCTGTCAATACCAAACCATGTGTATACAGGCAGTCGTAAAACTCCCCATGTGTAGTTGCCTTCAACTGTCAGCACTTTGCATCAGGAGGCTAACAGACCTGCGTATTGCATCATTCAGATTCACATTTGTTGTCATTTTTACGCTCCATATAAAAACGAAAGTGTTCCACACATGCCACCAGTTGACAAATATACTTCAATGCGGTATATGTAATAAAAGCAATAAGTTAACTAAATACAAACAATAATAAATGAGCTAAACCTGTGGGGAAATGCATCACTACTATCAGCAGAAGTGCACATCCTGTTCACAGAAACACCAGGCCGAGATCAGGAAAGACACATTCATGAGTCAAGGGCAAAGGGGGAGGGAGGGGGTGACCTTAGTTTGAAGTGCGGTCACAACTTGTTCCGAATCATTTCTTGCCACTGAAAGTTTTGGTTTTATGTCAAATGACTGAAGTCTGTATGAAATGATGTGATTGTGGACTTGTTCTAAAATATTTGTTTCTGAAGATGTTGGTGGAAAATAACTAAATACATTTACTGAAGAACAATTTGGTGGTACTATTATTATTACTACAGCTGTCTTTTACGATCTTGTGATTGATTATTATGTGTTTAAGCAGAGGCCTCGATCTTTGGGTGTCCACAGTAAACAGATATGCTCCCAACTGCATTAGTGGGTTAGAAACCATATATTAAATGTTTATATACTGATTAAAAATAATAAATATGAGAACTTAAAGTATTACCAAAAGTACATTTCCCTCTGAAATTAGTACAAATTTAAAGTAGCAAAAAATTTAAACACCTACGTAACTTAAAATTGTACTTAATCAAAAAACTGAAAAACTTTTCCTCTGTAACAAAGATTAGATCAAATGAAAACAAATATATAAAGAACATAGCTAAATCAGCATTAGCAATCTAGTAGTGTCAGGCCATGTGTACTTTTACTACCAATATTTGACGTGAAGCTGGTAACACTTCTATACTTCAATTTGGAGAGGTAGTGTTTTTAGCAGCAGCTCATTAATTCACTTTTTGAGTGTTGTCATCAAACTTCCCCTTTAAAGCAGTGGTACCATGTTTAAACACTGGAGTTTGTTGCACACTAACTGATGAGAAACACAAACACCAGACTGATAATCCAGCCACATCCTTCCTCAATCTGCAGTCTCACTAATGCAAACGAGAGTAACTTCAGTTTGGGAAACCACAGTTCTTTGTACTTTCTCAACCGTCATTTTGCCCTTAGGTTTTCTTCTTTTTTTTTGCTAAGTGATTAAACGTCATGAGCAGTGAGAGATGAAGCCACAGAAATAGTAGATCATACTTTGTTTTTATTAAACATATAAATACAAATTTCAACAGAGCAAATGAACACAAAATACTTGAGAGGAATCTCTAGAAATGAGCCATGGATTAGAAGAGAATAAATTTTAGAGCTTCCATGTGGATAAAAAAAAACAAAAAACATCCAAATGATGAGTGGAAAAAAAAGAAAAAGAAAAAAAAAACCAACTTGACTGCTTCAATGAATCCTCAGGCTGGTTGGGACATGTCACCTGTGATTCACCGTCAAAAATGTGGTTAGAACATCCTAAGGAAAGTAGATATGTGGTCAAATCTCCTTGAGAAACTATCATTTCCTCCATCTCCAACAGAGCTAAACCAGTCATCCACCCTGCAGTGACTCTCCTGTTGGCTGAGAACCTCCAAACCTGCAGCGAGGTCAAAGCAGACCATACATCCTGTCAACAACAACGAACCACAGTTACGATGTTAAACACTCCACGTTTGCCTCAATTTGTCCAAAAAGGACTGCATTGTTTTGAGTTACAGGAAAAATCCGCCCTCAGATCACAGAACACAGTTACAGCTCAGATGTTTTGGACTGAAAAGTTCTCAAACCAGCTCATTTCAAAGGACCATACCAGTGGCCACAAACACTCTGCATCACTGCTGTGGAAGTCCTCCATCATTCCAGGGATCCACTGGCTTCTATTCATTTCCAAGAGGTGTCAAAGTCAGTTTATAGTGGTGTAACGCATCAGTGAATATCAAATCTGCTGTCATTTAATGTTCAGTTACATTATTGTTACAAGGTAATTAGAAATGAAACAACAGAAAACAACTCAACCATTATGGCAAATTATTAAAGTCATTTTTTAAGTCAAAACATTTACTGACACCTGCTTTAAAGTGTGAGAATTAACTCGTCTTGTATCACAATAAACTGAATTCTGGGCTGTCGGTCAGACAAAAAAAACAAAAGAATAACTATTACAGCTAACCTTCTGTCTCACCATGCTGCTGACTATTAAGTAATTTCTTCTGCAACTTCCCTTCACTCCACTTCAGTAACAAATTCATCTAACAGACGGTTTAGACTTGCTCCATAAAGCTTGCATTGTTTTGGTTGTTGTATTAAAGTGAGTGTCACTAAGTATACCATAAAAGTATTCATAATGCTGAATGGCTCCATTCAGTGTGATGTTACATACATTGACATGTAGGCAGCATGCATTATTGAACTTGGTAAAACACAGGTTATGGTCTGTGCACCCACTGTCATGACAAAATCCTCTGCTGGACACCTGCCTGTTAGGGATTTTGGTCGGTGGCAGCGTTACAGGTTGTGTTGCTGTTCGACATTGAGGACCTGACACTGGAACCAGAAAGCTTATACAAGAAGAAGAACTTCAAACAAAACGCTTCCTGTGTTTCAGGGTGGATTTTTCCTTTATGTCACATAGGGTTTGATTGTAAAATAAACTGCATTTGGACAGTATTCACTGAAAACAACAGCTCAGATTTCAAGACAGATTGGTCACTGCTGCACAAAAAGTGAGCAGGTACAACGAAACCGCAGGATAATAAAACCAAGAAATCCTACAGAAACTCAGAGGAAATGGTTGATTGTCTGTGTGAAGCTATGAAGAACAAAATCTGTTTGGATAAAAGGATTTCTCCTTTCCTGCATCGACAGTAACTTGTTCCCCTTTCTCGTGATCTTGAGGTGAAAGTGACTTTTTCTGTTGTTCATAATTAACAGGTGAGACTAATCTACTAGTGATTTTTGAATGTTGTGACATAAATGAATTCACAAAAAGGCTCGTCGAGGTTTTTCTGGGTTTGAACAATCATTTAGGACTCGATTCGTATCAGGTCTACAATAACAGACGTCACTGTCCATCCAGCTTGGGTGTGAACCGCCCCTCGTCACACAGCCTTAAGTTCAGTTTCTACTTGTTTACACCCTCTGATCCTGTGTCTGCGGCAGAGAATACATTCAGAGCACATGTGCGGCCTCTCCCGTTCAGACAGACAGAGGTAGGAGTGGTTGAGCGTCTGAACGGCTGTGTGGAAAATCACTCAGTCGGCCTCTAAACTGTCCACAGACAAGCAGAAAGGTGGCTTAGGTACTGGCAGCTCGTCGCTCACCTGCATCAAAATATTCTCAAAACAGATTATAATGTGCGTTTTGTTTTTTGGTGAGTTCATTTCTGTGTCGTCAGCATAACTGAAATCTTCAGGCTGAGGTTTTACTGCCTCTGATTATTGAAATAAACAGAAAATGATTCACGAGGTTCCTGGGTGGAGTCACCAATCCAGCAATCAGGTAAAACAATAAAAACTACACTCCTGTTGGACGTGCACCTAAATCGTCAGTGACAAGCCGAGGTGGCATCGCTACAAGGCTCTTCTTTGACAGTCTCGGTGAAAGAATTCCAAACAAAGACTACATTATAAACGTGGCAGCTCACCATCTTTAAATAAAATTATTGCAAGCGTTCGCCGTTCTACCAACCCATCTTTCCCTCGTTCACCATCTCTGCTTTTCAGACACATTTTCCAGCCTAACCTCAGTTTATGCATCACATGTATTACTGCTACATTTAAATCACAGAGCTAAGGAACTGTTTCTCCTGTAAAGAAACACCTGCTGATGTCTCAAACACCCAGAAGGGCATTTGACAAAACTTCCAGCTGTTCTGAAGGTATTCCCCAAACCATCATACTTTTCCAAATATCCGGATCAGAAAATATTCTGCCAGATGACCAGGAAGTTATTGCATCAGAAAGCTGGATGCTTAGGTCTGTAATCCAAATGTGATGTCAGTAGGTGAGAGGCACAGACTCTTTCCAACATAATATTAGTGTCTGCACATGGAGCCCTGCCTCTCACATACCAGATCATGTGCTCAAGCCAGAGCTGAGTTTCACTGTGTGGAGCACTTTTATGGCTGTAAATTGAGAAAACCTCAGGGCGGCACTACGGCCCTACTCGCACTGTACAAGTCCCTCACACACATACATGTCGAAGCCTTTTCCGACAGCATTGCATCCACAACCTTTATGATCTAAGCTCCAGGTCCTTTGTTTATCTGCTGGTTGCTGTCGATTTCCTGACTGATTATTTCTGAACCTCATGAAAGAACAGTTTCTTTAAAAAACAAAAAACAAAAAAAAACAACCAAGAAACAATCAAAACCTCAAAGCACTTCAACGGATCACATGGCTCCTAATCTCTGGAAGTGCTCTGGTGGGTCTTGGGATTAGTTGCATCAATGCTGAAAAAGGTTTCTGTATTTTTCCCAGAAAGGTTTTTAGGTTCAGAGATCCAGCTTTGAGTTTCTCAGTGTTGTCAGCAGCCTCCAGGTTCTTCCTTGGCTTGGACGATGACGTGATGAAGACAGAGAGGAGACCGTCTCCTGCAGAGACGAACTGCTCGTCTTCACTTCAGAAAAACAAGACAAGAAAACAGCAGTGTTTTGTCTTTTTCCATATGGGCTCTTCCTCTTATCCCATACCTGACCACCCCAGCCCTCCCACACACACCCACTCCCAAAACTGATTCCCTTGACTACACGTGACCCGGCCTCCCTCCCTGTCCCCCTGCAGCCCACCACACACACAATCTCATCTCTGGCCGTGGAGCGCTGACACGACGGGGGGCTGCTGGGAGCTGCTGGGTTGAGAGACGGGAGGCCACATGGGAGTCTGTTGCACATGGTGGTGGTGATGAAAATGGTGGTGCATGTGGTGGTTGGTGGGGGATGATGGGGGCAGCCAAGCTGGCTGGTGGCTGGGTGGAGAGGAGGCCCAGAAGGAGGTAAAACCTGATGTGGAGGAGGGGGCTGGGGGGGAGCAGGCCATGGACACCTGGGAGGGGCCGCTGCCGGAGCTGGAGCCACACTCAGATGCCCGCAGCTTGGAGAACATGGTGATGGCATCTGGGAAGTTGGGCGGTGTGGCAGGAGTGTTTCTGGGGGTACACATCTGTAGGAAGGAAACAAGAGGACATGAGCACAAAGTACACGTCAATGATTAAACGTCAATAACAGAGCTGTGACATGGGAGGAGACGCTGGTTCTGGATGCGTTTATGTTTTGGCCACCAGTTTGAATTATTAATGCCTGAGAAATCAACTTTTGTCTGTCAGTTTGGCAGATGGCTCTAAATACTACAAACACCCATGAGCTTCGACCACAGAGAAGAAGCCGATCGGAGACATGAATCTGAACTGTAGAGAATTTAAATGTGTTTGGTGTTGTAGTTGTTGACAAAAACAGGTTACTATAGTTGTAGAATGCATTTGAAATAGACCCAAAATACAAAAGTAAATTAATTTAAGATGAAGATTGTACTTTTTTCTTTTTTTGGTTCAGTCTAATCTACTTTATATGCTGAGTATTCTGTGTAAAGCTTGCACATTATATGAACATCTCAATGGAATCATTTTATTGGGCTGGATCAGTAAATAATTGTATAACTGTAAATCCTTTGTTTTCAACAGGATAACTTTATATGCAATCTTGTTAATTCTAACATAATGGTCAACAAAATTTAAAACCTGGTGTCAAACAAGTTTATGAAAACATTCAGTGTGCGCTTCAGTGTCCACATCAGTAAAGAGCTTTGCTTGTTTGATACCTTTCATTATATCACAGCGGGACAGTTACTGAAACTATGGCCCAGCCAGCTCCTCTGCTTCAGACTGTGGATGTGTGAGCTGTGTGTGACACGCTGCTAAACGCCAAAAGTCTCTAGTGAAAACATCAATTAAAGTATAATTTGAAAAGGGACACTACAGATCACATAGCAGCCAGAAATAGAGGAGGGGGCTCTCAGCTGTCCAGCAGGAGGCCAAACGGAGTACCGATATATTTAGAGCATGTGCATGTAGAGAAATCACACACACATGTTTAAGATGTTTGTGTGCAGCCTTAAACTTAATTCAGGCACATAACCTGGCTGTTAGTCTCCTGCAGTACTATGTTTGCACTGAGATACACTTTGTTTTTGCTGCTTTAAGCTGATGACAGCGTAATTTACAATCCAGAGTCCATCCACTATAGTGCCATTTTAGTATTTTTTTATTGCAATTTCCTTGACTTCTCACAGCATTTACAACTATTATTTTTGTCTCAATACACTGTCTCCGTTTGTTATTATAAGGTATCGGGCTGTTTTCATATTTCATTAAACAAAATCTTACATATGTCTGTGATGCACATCAGTGTGTGTACAGTCAGAATATATAAAGTTTTTTTAAGTCACTTCTCTATACTAAGCATCTGTTTTTGTGTGTCTGCTGCTCTGAACAAAGTTCACCTTATCTTATGTTGCTCACTAAGCTCATCCAAGCAACATTTACTCAGAAAAGGATTTTTAGGGGTGTGAAAATCAGCAGTCATGAAAGTCAATGCTGGTTCTTTTGGTCAAGTTTGCTTTAAAACTTCCGAGCTGAAATTCACAAGCTCTCAGCGAATTCTTCATTTCTGACAAGGCATGTCCTCTTATGTCTACTTGTGATTCTTCGTCCCAGGTGGGGACGGTTACGATAGCCAGTCCCAAGCTAGTAAAAGCTTCTCTATTTAGTTCAGTTTCTTCTGGTTCTCCCTTTTACACTACAGGCGTCGGTAAAGGGGAAAAAAGACTGATGATGTATACAATACAGATGAAAACTCAGTGGTGGCCCAGAGGCCTGTACCACAAAGTGAGTTCAACTTATTCTGGTTCTCTTGGGGCCATCTAGCTTCACTGAGCGCAACATTGGCCGTCCTGGATAACTGAAGTCAGTTATCAACTGGCTCTGTTAAATCTGGGTTTTCCTGTCAAGCTACGAGCGCGTTCATACTGTATGACAGCAGTAGAGTTGTTAATCAGAAGCTACAGCACCATGAGTGATGTAGGCCACTGAAAATAATATGAAATGGAGCAGTGACACCTGCGGGGCAAATTGTTTCTAGGCAGAGCAAATAGTGATGTTACAGCAGGCAAACTGCAATCAACAGTCACAACTAGAACAGAATAAGAAGCTATAAAACTCTATAAATCATTTTCAAATATTAAGGAAAGACTAAGAATATACCGGATATTAGCGCAGCATTATTTTAAGGGTCTTATTCGATGACTAGTTTTTTTTTTCTCCTTTGTCTGATGGTGAATAAACTGTTATTAAAAAAATCCAACTGTCTCCCCTGCCAGGGAGGAGAGGAGAGGTGCACCTCAAGTCAGATGTTCACTTATAATCGCATGAAATATTTAACAGCATATGAATTAGTTTTTCTAATAAAAGACCATTATCACAGAGTCTCCTCATGTTACTCTAAGCTGCAGTGATGGAGCCTGTAAAAACACTGACAGTTAATTCAGTCCCTAATCAAATCTTGTGCATTTAAAATGCAGTGTTGATCATCATGAAGACTGCAGACACCCTCAGTTTGTTAGAAATCCAGAAAGCCTGAAACAGCACAATGTTATGAATAGAAATATCTATTTAATGTTTATCACATTCATATAGACTGACTCTGTCAGGACCCAGTAGGAATAGTCGCTCAGTCCAGTGATCTGACTGGTTGATCGGACAGGTTTTGTTCCGATCCTCTGAAGGTAACCTGCTCAAAGCAGGTTAGCCGTGCGGCAATGGTTACCATGGCAATCTAGCCTGATTAAAAGTGGGCCAGCTTCATGGTACCAGAAAACCCAAGCTCAGCCCAAAGTTAGCTGGATAAGCCACAAATCTCACTTCATGGTATGGGGCTCAGCGTAAATGCGCCAGAGTCAACCAAACAACTGCAGAATACAATATCTGATCACATTTCTACTGTCCAAGACATTAATGTAGGAACTTGTGGCATTTTGACAACTTGAGTTAACAAGACTGGGGTGAAATGGCTCCCTTATTTAGTTTTTGTGTTATACATGCTACATGCCACCATTGTTGACAACTCGATATCAAAACTATTTAGGTGTATGTAAGAAAGTGGAGGAAATGGGAGGGATGGGTTTTTGTTTGGTAGTTTTCTGCCACATTCAGATTTTTGTATGTTCATGAAAAACATATGATGGGTAAAGGTGTGCATATTAGTTGGAACATTTTATAATAAGACAAAAAAAAAAAATCTAACTGGCAGACACTGACTGACTGGATCCTACGTTGTTATTATTACCACAGGCTGCTCTAGCACACTAACACATGACTCACTGTACTGAGAATCAGAAGTAAACATTTATCTCTGCTGACTGTTTTCAGCCATGGTGTGACTGTTGCTGCTCATGCCACACCCACTCACACACACAGTATACACTATAGTATTCCTACTACTACACATGATGCGCATGCATACAACATGCCACAGAACCGGTTCACTGTCGCCCCGATTACCTTGGATGTTTAGAACAAAACAGCTGAGTCTCACGACCTGGTTCCATGTGTACAGAAAGAAATGTTCCTAAATTTAGACAAGTTCAAAAATTCTTATTAAAACATCAAACATGGGTTTATATAAAGAACTAAAAATAACCGAGTGAAGTGTGAATGAGATTCTTTTAAGCTGACTTCTCAGAAAAATAAGATGTCCAAAGAGTTTCGATTTAGTGGCGCTTTCAGACCAGAGAAACTTCTTTGTAGTTCACAGATCTAATGGACAAAGTACCCCCTTTTTGTGTGTCCACACTGTTGGAACTCTGAATAACTGCCATTTTCTAAAACCTGACTGTGTAGCTAAACAATAGTGATTAACAGCATCACCAGCAGGATGAGGAGCTGCAGTCCCCCAACAGAGAGTTAGTGGCTCCTTATTTAATTAACGTTAACCTATAAAGAAAGTATTTACCAGTAATGAAATGTCATCAACTGTTGTGAGCTTGTTGGCTAATAGCTAACAGTTGGCCACATCACTTACTTCTTACTGTCGGTGCAAATGTAAACAGAAGCCCATGAATGTATGTAGTCCATGGGGGAGCTCCCCATTGGGGTCGTACTTAGAACTGGCAGTTTTATTTCTTTTGGCTTTAACGATGATTTATTAATTTGGGGCGACTCTGGTTCAGTGGGTAGAGCAGTCGTCAACCGAAGGGTTGGGGGTTCGAATCACGGTGCCTGCAGTCCACATGTAGAAGTGTCCTTAGACAAGACACTGAGCCCCCAAGTTGCCCCCGATGGTCAAAGCCATCGTTGTGAGTTGGCGCCACAGATGGCTGCCTCGGATCTGTACCGGAAACAAATTCCTTGTGTGTGTAAAATACTCGGCCAAATAAAGGTGACTATTATCCCTATCCTTATTTTATTACTAAGTGCTGCTCTGTTTCTTTACAGTGATGAGATCTGTTGCCCATATTTTACAATTCCAAAGGTTTTAAGTCTGATCACAGTAGTTCAGATTAATCCCCGTTCGATACATGAGGCTCAGTTTTAACAAAGCCCCCTGTGTTTTTCTGACCTTGTCAGTTTTAATTGCTTGTGGCTGACAAAAAACCTGAAACAAACTTGCTGTCAGCAGAGAGAAAGAGAGAGTCGATAAAGGGCTCATCATTGCTGCAGCACTGACGTCTTTCTGCTCCACAGCCAAGTGGATCATCATGGAGCCATGCTGGGTCGGCCTGAGCACTGGGGGAGGTGGAGGAAATGGAAACAGCCATCTTAGAGCTAAAGCTCATCCTAACTGTTTAGCTGCTTCACAATGTCTCTCAGACCTCAGCAGCCCTGTACAACACTGTACTCTGAACCTCAGGCGAGATGATGTCATCACACTGCACCCAAAATAATAACAAACCCAAGGCACTGCCTCTCTCACTCCCTCACTACCTCAAGCTACAGTACAACATGCTCCTCCCTATATACACCACACAAGAGCAGTGGGAGGAGGGAGGGGAAAAAAAGATTCCAACTGAAAACAAAACACGGCAGCTGCAGATGTTGACATGCTGCTCCTGCATGATCATGATCCAACAAACCCCAGGCAGTAGCATGGTTGGTCGGTAAGTGGGACAAGATTCAAACACATGACAGTTAAGAAACAGGATTGTGTAAGCAGCCCTGGACTGAGGACAAAAGCATCTCTCTGCACATGCTGACACAAGTCTGCACTGCCTCACCATAATTATTGCATTCATTCAAACTGAGTTTTGTCAAGTGAATCCTCTTTATAAGCTGGTAATTACTGTAATCATATGCAGACACTCCCTGTAAGGTGGTTTATATTCAAATGAAAGAATGTGTGCCCTGCCAAAGCTAAACAACGTTGATAGGAAAAGTCCAGTATTTCTCACCCTGACATGTTTCCCATCAGCGTGGCCACAGTGGCTCTCGTACAAAACAGTGTGTATTGGAGTGAGCTGCAGGAGCCTCAAACAGCTCTCAGGACAATGATGAATATTTCAAACTCTTTTCTGAGAAGGGAAATGCAGAAAAGCAGCCGCCTGGGACACCCATTTTGTTTTTAGAGTAGTATCTTAGTCAGCCACATTTTATATTGCAAATCTGCAGAATCATGTACGTCAGTGCTGATATTAGATTTGATTTAGCTGTAAGTGATGGAGGATTTTCAGCCATGTTGCTGCCAATTTGTGGCAACTTATTAGTTGCTTTGACCAATTCTGACATTTCCTACTCTGAGACTGATAAGAACAATTTGTACAACTCACAGGCTTGTATTCAGAGTGTTAACGTTATGATGTGAAAGCAGCATGAACACAGCATCAGATCTAACCAGTTATTTTCATGGTTCTGGCTGGGAGATGACAGTAGCTATGCCAACAGCAGCAGTCTCTATATAGCCCTGGTTGAATGAAGCACAGGATTCAGTGTTTCCATTTGTACACCAAGAGCTGCTTTGTATTCTGGAGTACTGGGTTGTGTTCTTTGCATTTTCAAAGCCACAGGATCGGCATCAGCCAAAATAGAGCCGATCCAATTCGGATCCATATGTAGAACTACAGTCCTTTTATTTCAGCAGACTCATTTTGGCCTATTTTTAGCTTCAGGCCTATTTTTTTCAAGCTATATGTGTAAAACACTCCACAAAATCCACCAAAACAATAAAAACTCACTAGTTCCAACCAGAAACAAAATAGAGAAATACAAAAACAGTTAAAAGACACGATCTATCAGCTCTTATGTCAATCCTACTGAACATGGCAGTTCTTTTGACAGTGTGTGTTGTTTTTAATTTGCTATTTATCACCATGGGTTGGATATACTGTACATATACCTGTAAACGTAGCCAGTAATTCCCTCACTGTCTACCATTTGCCGAAATTTTGGACCACAGTTTTCTCTTTCCCAAACATGTTTCTGTAGTTTCCTTTGTGTGTTTTTGTACACCAAGTGCTTCCTATTCATGAGTGAACGCCTGGTAGAGACACGTGCATGAGCATCCCACGATGTGCACGTGAGATGTTACACGCTGTGTTTTCACTGTAGACCTTTTGATGCTTTTGTTCACTGGTGCTACGACAGCCACCACCTTCTGTTAATGCAGCGTTATTAAAATGTCAAACAGGGAGATCTAAACTGGACTGGTTACTGGATGCTCCTGAGAAAGAATGTGCCAGATTAATGTCAATTCGTCAGATATTTAATGAATACTTACTGTAGATAAATATAAGTATCAGATCTGAATCAGTATTGGCAGATACTATTGTAGGAATCAGATCAGTATCAGGCCCAAAAAGACTGGATGGGGACTTCCCTAGTCTTTACTGTAATTTAATCTTCTCTGTTTAGGGGAACCAAATATACTCACCATCTGGTGGTGGTGACTGGGAATGTTGGCCTCCTGGAAAAAGGAGCTTAAGGCTGTCTGAAGAGAGAGAGAGAGAAGAGAGACACTGTGTTAGGAGCACTCGCATTTTGATTTATTTATATAAAAACTCAACATACAGAAATGAAAAAGTCTAACATTTGCCTTCTTTTCCTCTCAGACCATAAAGAGGAAGGGATGCCCCATCCCCCCTCTTCACAGCCACTGTACAGGTCTGCTAACATAATCACTCACGTGAGCTCAGGGTTCAAACTACCATCTCCATGCCGCAATCTAAATCAGGGTTTGTATACCTCAGAGAGCTCTGCTGAGTTTTCATTTTAGCTAGCGGCCAAATAACTAACCGGCACAATGTGTAAACAGAAGTTTAACACCGAGGTTATACTGGGACTGAATTTTACACCGGCACAAACAGATGCTCATTTTGTTACCCAAACCCCAAAGACACGAGTTTTCAACCATATAAGACAAAGAAAACCAGCAAATGTTCACATTTGAGCAGCTGGAACCAGCTCCATTTTAATTTAGAATGATTATTCAGATATCAAAATAGATACAAATTAATTTACAACTAATTGTTTCAGCACTAGGCTGAATTTGCTAATTTTACACAAACCAATGTTTCTATATGAAAAAGCACTCATTTTGTTATAACAATAAAAGTGAAATAAGCAGAGCTGAGACAATTAGTCTCATGTGCTACTAAACTGAACATTTTTGGACTGTTCAGAATAAATAGGCAATTTGTCACCTTTGACTTCCAGAATGTTGTGATGGAGATTTTTTACTATTGTCTAACATTTTACAAGCAGAATTCACAAGTGAATCAAGAAAATAATAGATTATTCAATAAAAAAATAACAGCTGGTTACAGTCCAAAATTTAAGATGCCTGCTTTATGTCTGGAAACCTCAGTCACTATTTTCTAATATTTCATAGACTAAACAATTGAGACAATATTCTGCAATGTAAATATTAACGCAAACAATCCTGAGCTGCAGCAAAGAGTCTCTTGCTGGGGGTCGAGGAGTCGACCACAGAGAGCAACAGAGATGCTAAGAAAAACGTAAAAAGCAGGTTTCATGGCTGCCTCCCTATGTAAACAAGGAAATGAGTCGGCTTCTGGTTCGTCTTTGTTGTGAACAGAGCCGAGGCCAGTGTGAACAGAAACACACTAGATGACACAGAAACAACATTCTGACGTCAAAGCTAGCTGGAACAGATCAGGGAGCCATTTTTCTTCCCAGCAGCAGAAAAACATTCCTGAAAATCTGACGAGAAAGTGATTCATGTTAGTGACAGGAAACAGGGTCACATCATTCTGTATGTAGGAACTGATTAGTGTGTGAAGGGAACTACTGAGTTTATCTAGCATTATAAGCTTATTTAAAAATCTATTTTTACTTAAAAATGACCACAGTGAATCAGAAGGACTTTGGTGTGTTCTGCCAGAAGGTGAAAGAATTTTTCTCCTCACAATGTTCACTACAGTTTGACTGCTACAACCTCCGTTTCTTTTCCCAAGATAGCATATACATTAGCTGAAAGCTAATTTATGTTCTGCTCAGCCTGTCACTGAACTCTGTAAATTCATGAGGCCCCAGGTGAATTGGTTTCTACTTATGTCTTTCCACTGACTTTGTATGCAGTCGTGCCACCTCTAAAAATCTCTTTGCACACAGAGTCTGAGTCTACAGCCATGCTAATGTCGGAATGCTAACATGTTCACAGTGATAATGTTAGCATGCTGTTTAGTGGATAGAATGTTTACCATGTTCACTTGTTTGTGTTAGCATGCTAACATTCGCAAATTAACACTAACTACAAAGTACAGCTGAGGCTGATGGGAATTTAGTCTTCCGATATTTAGTCATAAACCTAACTATCGGTCAAATTTAAATGCAGACATGATGATGGAGCTACATGAAAAATCAGAGCATCACAGAGTTATTTCCATTTTCTCATTTAAACAAAAATATACTTTTCTAAAAGTTAATATTTTCATGCAACATATTTTTGCTTGGGTTTTTGAGTGAGGACATAAGCATGTCACTCCTGGATACTGCGGCTGGGAAATACATCCACACCTGGGAAACAAATTAAAAATCTTTTTTATGCTTCAGAACAGCAGTAAGTGTTGTCAAACTATCTTTCTGTTCTTACAGAAAAATTGGATGCTTAGCCCTGGGACTCAAACGTAATTGCAAAACACGCGAGGCACAGACTTGGGCTGAGCCACAGCATGTTTTCAACAGGACAGGGAGCATGAGCTCATTTTACTGCTCAGCGTAGCTTCCATTTCCCTTCACTGGAGGCCTCTTTCTTGCCAACACTTCAATGAATGCAGTCATTTCCCTCCCCCTTCCTTCACCCACGGTCTGGTTGTTTGACAACACGAGCAGCAGGGCAGGAATTTCTGCTGTACAACGTGACATACATATGAAACCATGAAAGTGCTTTGCTGCTATTGTGTCATAAGCCACTGAGTCCATGCTGTTCTATATCACCTCTCTGTTTATCTTTCTGGACCAGGTCTGGCGAGTGTCACTCACTAATGTCACACTGTCAGCTCACATTTCCTGTTGCTGTAAACACAAAACACTTTGTGTTCTTGTATGTGAATCTTCTTCCATTGTATTAAACTACAACTGATTACCAATGTTCACAGAGGTTTCTTCAAAGCATCCTTCACTGGAGAGAAGAACATTGTGGCAGACATTACAGTGAAGCTAAGCTGGTTGATGTAATATGACCAGTGGCTCTTGTTTAGGAGTACAAAATGTACCTATCTAGTGGTAAAAATAGAAGTTCTGCTTACATCAGCAAGAAAAACATCAACTTGACAAACAGTGATGCTAAATGTATCTGGAGCACCAGTAGTGGACTGTCAGAAAATTCAACCACAGCTATTTTCATTAATCAAAGTAATAAAAAAAATGGCAAAATTTCACATTAAAGTTTTTAAAATTTGAATATTTGGCTTTAGTTGTTTAGTATTAAAACGGGAAACTCTGAGTCTTTGGGATTTAAATATGTTGTCTGAAACTGGAAAACTAATTGTGATTAAGCTATTATCCAAGAAAATAATCAGCAGACTAATCACTAATAAAAAACTACCCTCCAGACTGCTGTGTGACTAAAAGTGGTGTGTTGGTTGCACACTGCTAGCAGCATGTTGCTACATTTTAGAGACAGTTTATGTAACAACCAAGTCGCAAACTCAGAGGATGAGAAATGAAGCAAGCGAACGATGAAGTGTTAAAACCTGCAGTTCTTCGATTGGCCACTTGATGCTGGCTCCAAAAAAAGAGTCAATCTTCATAAACTCCCGTGTTAAGATGCCCAACTTTACAGCAGAAAGAAATGTTTACAGCCTGGTATAAAAAACAGTTTTGGTCTCTAGTTAAGTTCCCCTTCCACGACAACTGTACGGGGGCTGGATTTTTAGATAACTCACCAATTTAAATGATATTGAGACTAAAGATTAAACACACTTTAGGGCATGGCTGCTCTGAGTGTCAGGGAGGAGGGTCCCACCATATGTGGCCAGCTGCTAGCTGTCTAGCGAGCTCCCCTCACAGTCCACCTCTTTGCCCATTTCTGGATTAGCTGTAGCAGGCGGAGTGAAGCACTACCAAGATGGCAACGACTTGAGCTTCAAAGCCTCCCTTCAGAAGACCAATGGGGGACGTCACAGTGGGTTTGTCCATTTTAATTAATCCTGGAATCATTTCATTTTAATCCTCTCTCCAATTAAATCCTTGTCAATGGTATAAACAAACAAATATACAGTCAATGGTAACAGCCTTAGTCACTGAGCTTCCTTCATTATGCACTCATGTAGTGGAAGAACAGTTAATAAATGCTACAAGCAATGAGAATAATTAATCCTGGAATCATTTCATTTTAATCCTGTCTCCAATTAAATCCTTGTAGGCGATGAGATATTTGAGGAAGTCCATCCTGAAACTTCTTTGCCATCACCTGAATGCTCATATAAAAAGTTGCAGTGGTGTTATAAAGCCAGATGCCAGACACATCTGTATTTTCTTAATGATGAGAATGCAGCTATATGGGGCGGCACTGACAGACCTCAGAAAGAAGACTTTGGCACACACACACACACTACAGCAGAGGTTAGTCAAGTGACAGAAAATTACTTCATTGTTTAAAGGTATTCATTAAGCAAAAACACCAAATGTTGTGTGACGATTTGTTATTTTTGTCTGTTTATATCATTGCAAAATGTTTTGGACTGCTGGTCCAAAATAACAAGAAACTGTAATGAATATTTTTTACTCATTTCTGATGTTTAACAAACCAAACTGATTAATCAAGACAATAATCAACAGACAATCAAACTAATGTAATTTAAATAAACAAATGCATGAGAACGTATAAAGCATGAAAAAAAAATGTCCGAGAATATTTCTTCAAGTGATAAATGCAAAACTGAAAGGCTGAGGTGGAAACCAACAGATGTCAGTTTCCATGTGTGAGGAGTTTTGCTTTTAGACTTTTTCAGTATTGTTTCCTTTTTCTGTTTTTCTAAGAAAGCCACTGTATTTTAGCTGACTACTCTTGTCTCTGTATGTGGAAGGAGTGGGAACAGAAAACTGGGGAGGTTTTGAAGAGGCTGTATCTTTTTTCTGATTTACATTTATTTGTGTTATATTGCAAAAATCAAACTTGCAAGTCTTAAAAATACATAGATATGTGATTAGACATGTTCTTGCTACCACAGAAAAGGTCAGAGGTCAGAGGAGGCCAGAGATCCCCCCCACCCCAGGAGCTGGTGGGGATTGAGTATCATCAGCAGGGGGATGTTTGCTGCCATGGAGGCTTGACCTCTTGCTACCTAACTGCTGGGTGACATGGCTAAAAATATTTTCACTTTTTTTTTTCATACTGATCAATATAGATAATTATCAATGTGCATTAACCAAGGTTTTACACATTGATAAATCAAGTGAAAATGGGACAGGATGTGGAGTCTCTCATCTATCTCACTCCCTCCATCACACGCTGCTGCCTACAGTCCATCTGTTGTTGTTCCAGCTTCTCTACACTGTTGTAAAAATACGGTCTGGACATTAGCTAAGTTTATAAGAACCTTTTTACAAACCACGCGTAGTCATTTCAAACCACCGGCCATGGAGGAGCTCTTAGCAGCTAAAAGTCTGAAACTGTGGATTTTAATTTGGCAACAACTTGAGCTTTGTGTAATGATGGTGCTCTGTGGGACTTTAGTAGTAAGCAGAGTGTTCTACTGGAATGACAATTTACTCATTAGTCAACTAACACTAGCTTT